GAAAGGAGACCACCTGGGAACCCTAAGCAAAATTGATCCGTAGGCAAAATAGAGGAGGCACCCTTCCCCCACAAATCTGTGGAAAAAGCATTGGCAATAGAAAACCATTGTTGCTAAGAAAAATACATGGTTAGATCTGTGAAGTCATCAGGAATTAAACTTGACTCAAGGGTGTTTTTATTTTCACTGCAGTCATAGAAATTGTAACTGGGTAGTGAACCATGTTGCATTTCAAGATTAGACCCAGTCACCTGCCCCAAGTAGGATGCCCACTAGTATTGAGCTTAAAACTGCAGAAATCAGCCTCAGACCAACATATGGTGCCTCTGCCTTCCCAAAAATAACAGATGTTCAGCCTATAGCAACATGATCCTTTGGGGGATTTGCTAAAAACATCCCATATTATTACTATTATTTTAAGCTCTGTGTTTTCCTGCTAACAGATGCATACTGAAAGTGACTCAGTTACTGTAATGAAGTTCAGCATCTCTGCGTGGCAAGCACACCAACTCTATGGAAATTAGTTTTAATTATATATTGTGTTTAGCTACTTCTTCAATCAACAAAGTGTAAATATTTTGAATAAATAAACATGGATTCTTTGATAAACAAAATGGTGAAAGGGAATGCGAGAAAGACAGAGTGCTCTGATATTGTTCTTGGGATTTATTGGAATCTATTGGAGCCACTCTCCCACCTCAGGAGTCTCAGTATGTATCAGTTTTCAACTACTTTATTACAACATATTCAACACCCTTTTTTTTAACCTTTATTTTCTTTTTCTCTTTCATATTTACATCTTTTTTTAAAGTGCTTATTATATATGTAAAGTCTTTTTAATAAAAACTATTTTAGAAAAAATCAAAAGCTATATGAAATACAATAAAAATCAAAGCTCATAACAATCACAACATTAAATGTATACCTTTTAAAATATGAAGGCTTAAATTGCCTAAATTGCACAAAAGAACTTTAAAAAAAAAATAATCCTAGTAAATATACCTATCTGGAAAAATTGTTCCAAACACTGTAAAAAAAAGGGCTCTCTCCCTATTATTAGCTCCCTATTATTAGCATATTCCAATATGTTCACATATTGGAATTCAACCTCTCTTTCAGTTTTATTAGCTTAGGGTTAAATTTATAATAATGTCAGAAAGTTGTTTTTGATCCACCTTCCCCAACAAAATGCTATTCAGGTATTTTTGACCTATTCTCAAACATGGCAATTTTAAAATGGAGGGACTTCAACTCGTTGGGGAATTGTAGAAGTTGAAATCACATCTTAAAAGTTAACAAGTCTGAGAAATACCAGTTTAAAGAATATCATTCTAAAGGAAATTTTTTCACTACCTACCAGTAGCTACTCCTGACTTGTAGCTCTTGTTTCCCTAGAAGAAGTCCCCTAACTATTTGAAACTAATGGGCACATTTGGAATTTTTGAAAACTGGGATTTTCAACACATTTGGAATTTTTGAAAGCTGGACAGGGCATGGTTTGCCCAATTTCAAAATGGTATCAGAATTCTACCTGCCATTCCTTCTTGTTTGCCATCATACAAACTTTTATCTCTGTTTTACCTCCATCCTTTTTTGTGAGCAAGTGTATACAAATTTGAAACAAACAGCCTTGTCTAATATTTATTTTCTAAAATAAAAAAAGTAATGGAACAAAGTTGGGGCCCATATGCGTTCTTGAAGGTGAAGTTAAGCAGAAGTCTTAATATAAAGGACAAACATATCTGCAAACATTTTTTAAAATGCACAAATCAGGTGAAGGAGAATCAAATAAGTTGTTGGTGATCATTTTGGCATCATGTTATATTTTCAGCTCTGATAACCCTTGTATTGCAAACTGTGTCTGGGCATAGCAGGAAAGTTCATTCTACAACACGCAGGCAATTTTTTTTTTTTTTTGAAGGAAATTGACAGGATGACATTTCTATAGCACATAATAAATAACTCAGCCCACAGGTGTAAATAGCACGCCTGGTATATTTTCTTAATACAAATTTATATATTGCCCTTGTTCCCATTGATTTTACTTCTCCTTTGCTCTTTAAATGGTCATAAAAGATAAGTGCTGCTGTACTCGTATTACTGGGGCATCTGCCAGCATAAATTATACAAGTAAAGTAGAGAGGAGTCTAGCCTGTGCTGGAATATGATGGACTAAGGACCAAAATGCTTTGCTAGCACAGTTAATTTTGGACTATTTGTCTGCCTCTTATTCCACAGTATTGCACACATGGGTAGGGAAAAGCTAGATTTGCAGACTTCCCATCAATATATATATTGAACCTGCTTAAACCTGAGGAAGTTCCTACTTGTGTTGGCCAGGAATGCTAAAATCTGCTCTAGTTTAGTATTTAGTGCAATGTTGTAGGACTATATGATTGTTTTTGACATTCTGGCTTTATTTGACTAATTCATTGTCCCAGGGCACTTTGGTTCATGAACCAACTGTTCTTGGAAACACTGTTTGCCCTCCAGCTACAAATTATTTTAAATGCCAATCCCAATTCTTTCCCTTGCTGGCATTATCAGAACTACTGGAATCCAGAGGGGGCATAAAGTCTTTACTCAGTTTATTTTTATTTTGCTACATTTTATAGCCTACCTTTCCTTAAATAAATCAATATAACAAGTCCTGCCTCTAGTTTCTCCCCACTACATCAAAACTGAAAGGCTGGACTATATATACATATACAACCCAACATCACTCAGTAACCACAGCTAAAAGTGATTTAAACCCAAGACATATCATTCTTCACCAACATCGATTATAAAAGTACTACATCTAAGCAGTGTTAGGCAGCATCAGGTTTTTATCTTGTGTTCTTTAACAGTAAATATTCTGCAGATCTAATTTATATCACCGGGACCAGAGGGTTAGTCTTCTGGGCTTTTGGACTTGTGCTGGAACCCATCCTCAGGGAGCTTCTCTCCCACCAGAATGTGTTCCTCTCACATTCCAGTGAGAGAGAAATTCTCTGAGGATGGGCTCCAGCATGAGTCCAAAAGCTCAGAAGACTAACCCTCTGGTCATGGTGATCCAAATTGGATCCTGTAACTTTATCCTGGGACACGTATATTTGCCTTCATTCATGAGTGAATATTCTCTTCCTTTCTGTATGAGCATTTGGTTCATCCTTAAACATATTCAAGTGACTGCACTGCAACCTGATGGACACATTGGGCTTAATAGCAGAATTAGAGGCTGTCTTTTCATTCACATACGGTCGTTATAACTTAAATTCTGTCCTGAATGTTTTTGAATGATTTGTTCTTTGCTCAGTTTTCTAGAGTTTCTTTATTTCATCTGCAATACCTTCTTTTATGGCTTTTTAGATGTTATCAGTTTAAAGTTGGTATCCCCATTTTCTTGCTCCCATTTGTGGATTTTTTTCCCTTTGGGTGGCTGGCTTGAGGATTCAAAATCCTGAGGCTCCTCTGTGTGGCAAATACTCATCAACAGCTTAATCAAACTCCTTATTTTTCTTTTGCTTCTGGCATCACAATTCATCACAGAAAGCAAGAGGAAAGCTGGCAATTCAGCATGAAGTTTATATAGACAACAGATATTTTAAAGTTCCTGTTTCAGTATTTTTACCTAAATTTTCTTTGCTTTTTAAAGAAACCTAGAAATTTCTCTTTTATGGGAAGGCAATTTCATATCATGTCATCTTAGGTATCTGGATTTGTTCCATTCTGTCTTGGTCTTGAAAATCTCTGCTGCCCTTTGGTATACACGCTTGAAATTCCTCTACTTCCAGAACATGTTAGATGGAGGTTCTGACAATTCACCCCTTTGTTGTATGACCCCCTGAGGAATGATGGTTCTAATTAATATCTGACTAATTGAAGCACTTGGAGACTTAGTCATGTAGCCTTCAGATATTCTCACTAGGCTAGCTTTGTCTCAAGGCGACTACTAGTTGTTGTGATGCAAAGAAGAAATTAGCAGTTCTTGATGCAACAAGCTTCTGTCTTCGCAAGTGATTTTGTTCTCCTCCCCTTTGCTGATTTCACTGTTATATTTTGCCCTGTGCCCCCAGCTGTGCCTATGTAACTGTGTGCTGCTTTCTGTGTGCGTCACTTGCTGTAATGTCTCTAGCTTGCACCTAAATGTGGAGCATTTCTTCCAAATGTGCCTGCTGGCTTGGCAGAGTTCTTGCTTTTTGGAAACAAAATCAAACAACTTTGGCTGCTGAGCTTGGAAATTCTGACATGCTGGAGGTGGCACAGATTTTTGATAATTGAAATATTATAAAAACAATAATGTGGCTGAAACTCAATCGATTAAGTACTGTTTCTTGTTTTGCTTTGTTGTGTTTTGTTTCTTTCCTGAGCTAATTGATGCATATTTTATCTGTTTCTGCCTTCATGTGTATTATTTGCAGTGCTACATAACTAGAAACAGCAGTACTAGTACATCCAGCTTTAATAACTAAATCTTGACCATTGCATGTAAAGTGCAAAAGAACGATATGCCATTCAAGGAAATAATTTTTGATAAGGAGGGAGGGAAGCTTAATGAATCCTCCGTGCACCCTCCTTCTTCCCTTCTGTTGATGTTGTTTCTTTTCACCTGCCAAGACTAAAATCTTTGTCCTGAAGCAGAACTAGGCAAGCCGTGGCACTCAGCCCAATTTCTGAACTGTCTGTAAGTTATCAGATCTCTGAAAGAAGCTTCTCCCCAGCCAGTGTGGCTATTTCTCAGCATGCTAGAAGTTGAAGTCAGCACATCTGAAAGTTACTCGCTCTGGAGACTAAGAGATGAAAGAATTATTTCCTGCTCTTAGGCCTTGAAGACGCTTGTAAGAAACATAAAACAAAGATATTTAATGCTACCTCTTATTTAAATGTATCCAACCTAGCCTTCATCCCAGAATCAGTTTGGAGTGTGCTAAAAATACTGTTTCTTTTCAAGTCTTCTTGCTAATGGTTATAATGCTACTGCACTTGTCGCGCTCATTTGGTTCCCTTTCCCTTTTCAGTTTGGCAGGACTGAAGTCATTGACAACACCTTGAACCCCGACTTTGTGCGGAAGTTCATCCTCGATTACTTTTTTGAAGAGAAGCAGAATTTGCGCTTTGATCTGTGAGTGGCATATTTCTTGGTCTTGTAAAGGCTGTGAGCGTGTGAAGGGAATACCAGTGTGCACCCATAAGACTTCTCAATTTGGCTGTATCCTGTAATTGGTGAGATTCTGTGAAGAATATGCAAGTGCTTTATCTTAACAAGGCATGCACTGGGGAAAAAAATAGCGATGTGAGATGAGATCCAAAAGGGGTCTCTTTATTCTGAGCTCCAAAGGCAGCAATAATTCTACGCACATTAAAGGCAGAGTTTTCACTTTTCAGTAGGGTCCAAAACTTGTGAATATAATACTTTACATTCAAAATTTTTATCTTTATTTTTTCCCAATATTGTACTAATACCATTAGTATAGGGTTATGTTTCAACATCTGCATGATGCAAGGGGAACATGTCAGACAAAAGTTAAGACACTTACATTTGGGTCTATTTTATGCTGACATTAAACTTATATATTGTCAGTGTAAAATAGAGCCAGATATAGGTGTCTTAACTTTCTTCTGAGATGCTCCCCTTGCATCATACCAGACATCCTTGGGTCCTCTACTAGACATAGGAAATATTCTGCTGTTTTATTAACAAATGATTGCATACTGATTTAACAATCAATAAAATATTAGCCCACTGATTTCTTAAAACAGAATATTCGAACCTATTCGTCTAAATTATCTCCAAATGACCCCATATTTATCTTAATATATCATTTTAGTTATAAATAAATTAACCATAGGTTTAGCAACTTTGAGAATTTTGGAATGATATCAGTAGTTTAGGAACTTCAGAAACAACTATTTCTTCAGACTCAGTATACCTTTAAAATATATTTTAATTAAATAAGCAGCCATCGAACAGTCTTAGATAATCCAAAATGGGATGTATTTTTTGCCAAACATTTTGAAGAAAATTTTAACAGTAACCTTTTGGTCCATAATTTCCATAATAATTATTTACCAGCAATCTTCAGTTTAGATTTTCCCATAATGTCAATTTCGCATGAGAGTTGGATTAAATTTGAATTTACTTCCCAATATACATATCTTGAAACTTTTAATGTGAGAAAACCAATTAAAACAGAAATCAAAATGTTGGCCAAATATAAAAAGGCACTATAGTAGCTTTCTAATTGTTCCCAAAATAACTTTTGAGATAATCAGTTGAATTCAAAAAGCAATATACTGTAAGTCACAATATATGTCCAATGGTATAATTGAAAATTGACAAATTAAAATCCCCATATTCAGAGAAAAGTAATTCTAATATAGAAAATCTACAAGTCTGAGAATACCATGAAAGTTTTTCAGTATCCTATCAGTCTGGTTAAAACCCGTTACAAATATTAACATAGGATTCCCTCTAATAATATACATCAACTTTGGACTTACTTTTATATTGACATTTATTCTTCCTCATAGACTCCTGGAGATTTTACACTATTTGTTTATATCTGAGATAAGCAACTAGGAACTATTAACCTAGTTCAACAAAGGAATCTAGGGATAATTATTCCAAGATATGTAAATGAATACATAGAAAATATGAAACTGTATTTTTTCAAATATTCATTGAAACCTTAGAACCAGTAAACAGTGTATTAGATCTCTCCTAATTAACGAAGCAACTTGAAAATGTTTACCAAAGTATTGTACTATAAATGGGATCCATAAATATTGGTTAAAAACATTGGTAATTATCAGTAAAGAATACAGTATCATCAGCATGTAATAATAATTTATATTTGTCATCCCTTCAGGATTGTCAAGGTGAAAAAACAAGGGGCACAAGGGATTCCAGGAATGGTCTTTATTGTTGTAGGGTAGCATAATAAAATATTGAAAACCTTCCAAAAAATTTTTCCTACCTCATTTTATACCAAGCAAAATCAAGACAGAGTTTTTTTTAGTTTCTTTCTCACGCTTTTCCTCTTTCTTGGTTCTAACTGATTTTTTTTTCTCTTCCCTTAAGAGTTTGTTATTCATTCCCAATGCAGATCTTTCTTTCACAATGTTCCATTACCACTAATTTGATACCTGAAATATTCTTAGATATTTATGTCAATAGTGCCAACATCACATTAAATAAAATTAAAGTAAAAGTATTAAAGTACTCTTGATGTATTAACACTCTTGATGAATTCCTCATAACATTCTAATAGATGAAGAAATAATTCCAGTTGTGATAATCCTTGTAATGGGCTAGAGGATCACACTTTACTCCAATTTTTAAAATTTGAAGGGAAAACCAAATATAGGTAGCTCTCAGTTTACTACTACAATCGAGCCCAAAATTTCTGTTGCTAAGCAAGATAGTTTTGCCCCATTTTACGACCTTTCTTGCCACAGTTGTTAAGTGAATCACTGAAGTGGTTAAATTAGTAACATAGTTGTTAAGTGAATCTGGCTTCCCCATTGACTTTACTTGTCAGAGGGTCACAAAAGGTGATCGCATGACTCCAGGACACTGTAACCTTCATAAATATGAATCAGTTACCAAGCATCCAAATTTTGATCATGTGACCATGAGGATGCTGCAGTGGTCATAAGTGGGAAAAATGGACATAAGACTCTTTTTTCAGTGCTGTTGTAACTTTGAACGGTCACTAAATGGTTGTAAGTCAAGGACCATATCATATCAAAAACTTTCAATGAAACAAATGTCATCAAATCCAATATTGTATATCAATTACATCCACCAATTATGGAATATTGTCTGTTGCTTGGCATCCTTTAATGAAATCAGATTGTTCCAGATGAGGTCCCAAAGGTAGTCTATAGGCCAAAGATTTGTCAATATTGTAACATCCACTTTTAACAAAGGAAGTAATCTATACATTCTGTAGCATTGAATTTAGCTTAAAAAATTTAGTTATAAATAGAAGAGGAGAAAACTGTGTGAAAATTGATTTTTGTATTCATGTATTCAGCAACATAGGAGGGGGGGAGAGAGAATAAATGGCTTACAGCTAAATTCTCAGATTTGTGCAAAAATGCCTTGGCATTGTGCTAATTTGTGCAAAAATGCCTTGGCATTGTTTAAGTCTTAGTAAATATATGTGAATTATTGCTGAAAGAAATTCCCTTTGTAATTTTATGGCAAACTGTTCTCCTTATATGCTTGGAATGAACATCCAAATAACTATTCTTTATTTTATCATCCAGTGATATTTTATTTCAGTATCTGTTAGTGAACAATACTAGATGATTGATAATATTTATCGTGTAATAATATTGAAAAATGTAACCACGTTCATCATTATTTGCAGTAATGTTTCTATAAAGTACATTTCTCAATATTCTGTTTTCTACCTTAGTAACCATAAGAGCTCTGTGTCTTCAGGGAAATTCCCAGTTCTAGCTACTTCATGTAGAACAATGCTGGCCACATTACTCCGTCTAAACAAAGAAAGATTCATCCCAAAACACACCCAATGCTCAGCTTCTGAAAGTTTCCCAAACTCAGAGTCCTCCAGGGAATATTTGGAAGTCTATAGGCATACTATATTTGTTAAATAAATATAATAGTATTTATAATAAATAGCATTTGATAATTAAAAAGATAATGGAATTACATGAAAAGTATTAAGAGTCTAGGTAATTTGTTGTTAATATAGAATGATAGCTCAGAATTTCTCAACATCATTTAGGAGATAGGAGTGGAGGCCTCAGAAAACAACCTGTTCCCCATTTTTTATTTAGCTCTTTCATCAGTCCCCAAGAAGATCAAGATCATTTCACAGGTTCACGAGGGAACCCACCAGAGGTGGGTTTTAGCAGGTTCTGACTAGTTCTGGAGAACTGGTAGCGGAAATTTTGAGTAGTTCGGAGAACCGGTAATAAAAATTCTGACTGGCCCTGCCCCCATCTATTCTCTGCCTCCCAAGTCCCAGCTGATCAGGAAGAAATGGGGATTTTGCAATAACTTTCCCCTGGAGTGGAGTGGGAATGGAGATTTTATAGTATCCTTCCCCTGTCACGCCCACCAAGCCATGCCACGCCCACAGAACCAGTAGTAAAAGTTTTTGAAACCCACCACTGGAGTCCACACTTAACAACCCACATAGAATAAAGGTTTTAGGAGTTGGAGCATTTATATCTCAAGAAATGCTACCGGTTCGGGCCAGTTCGCCCAAACCGGTAGTAAAAAAAAGTTTTAAAAAAAGGCTCGGACGATCGCGCGGCACAGCTGTGATCGTCCGAGCCTTTTATTTTACATTTTTAAAGCATTTTTTTACTACCTATTCACTGGAACTGGTTCTGGCGGATAGGTAGTAAAAAAATGCTTTAAAAAAGTTTTTAAAAAGGTTCCCAATATCGCGTGCCACAGCTGATTCCACCCCACCCCCTCCCGTTGTTCCACTTACCTTCCCAAGCCTCCTTTTGGTGCGAACTGCACATGCACGTGCACAGCACATATGCGCAGCCAGCGAACCAGTAGCAAACCGGTTCAGATTTCACCACTGCTCAAGAGCATATCCAGATTAAGTGAGAAATGAAAGCTGCCTGGAGGACATATCTGGGATCCTCCTAACCAACATGCTCAGATTGAAGAACCTATTTGGATAAGCTAAACATTTCAAACCAACAAGAAAAGAAGTCCAGTTGCCACGATTCAAATTCTAGACAACTCTTGCCATGATTGAGAATCTTCATTGACATCAATCAGGGGATATTAATAGTTCTTAACAGCATTCAACTTTTCAGTTTAATTTTTCAAAATTCAAGTATGAATTTTGATGTTAAGACATTCAGAAAAAAATACATTTGTTTGAAAATTATTTGTTTCAGCTTTAGGATGAAGGATTAGGAGTAATGTATTTGAATATAAAATAATATTCCATATTTCCTCCCCACTAAATATTATTAGAAAAATGAAGCTTCCTTAACATGTATACAGGTAGTCCTCAATTTATAACCATTTGTTTAATGACTGTTCAAAGTTACAAGAACACTGAAAACAGTGACTTATCAATGGGGAAATCAAATTTACTCAACGTTCATGTTACTAACTTAATAACGTCAGTGATTCTTGTGGCAAGAATCGTCGTGGCAAGAAAATTTGTGGCAAGAACAGTTGTAGAGTGGAGCAAAACTTACAACAACTGTCTTGCTTAGCAACACAATGCTTGGCCCAATTGTGGTAGTAAATCCAGGACTACCTGTATTACAATTTTTGTCATATTCCATCAGCTGTACTCCTGTTTCCATTGGTTTGTTTTGCCATTTTTCCCCAATCTACTTCTAGATGCATTAGACTTCAACTGGCATAATAATCCAGCAATATTATCTTTTGGATGTGAATATGGAAATTGAGTCTACAAATGATTTGAAGAACACTATTTTAAGTAATGGACAAGGAAAAGGATTCTCAGAAACCCATGCAGAAGAAGTCAAAATCTTGATTTCCAACCCTGACTCTGTTTCCTTCTTCATAGATATTGTACAATGTCCCTATTGTGTAGATTTTGCAAAAGAGAAATAGCAAGATTCTACATGATTGAAATGCCAGTGTGTGATCTCTGCTTCTTCTTCCCTGCAGTTATGATGTAGATTCCAAGAGTCCTGACCTATCCAAACATGTAAGCTAAGTACACATTTTCTCCTTCATTTACATGGTGTTTTTGAGACACTTTCTCTTTGATCCAATTTTTGTTGCCTATATTTCAGTACATCATATTCATGTAATGCAATAAGCCAGAATTGTAAAAATAAAAATTAAAATTAAAAAAATTCTGATTGATCACCCATATGTTAGATGCTATACAGACATATGTAGTGCCATATATATATGTACTGCTAGGGCATTGATGCTTATGGGGGACTGAATCTGGGGCTTTCAGAATGCAGTCTATGTAGGGTAATCCATTGAATAAAGGTTTTTCTAAGTTGTGAAATATTGCTAAAACTGCATTTTATTTCTGCCCTTTCTACGCATACTTTGGCTCATTCTGTTCCTTTATCCTGAATTATTATAATGTTTTACATTTCAAGTAAGTAAAAAACTGCAAAGAAGTATGTAGTGAATCTCAGTTTTTATTTTTGCTAACTACTTAAAGCATGCATAAGTAATTTTGGTAGGTACTCATTGCAAAGTGTAGGCTTATGGGGTGACAGCGTAAATTATAATAAATTGGCATGATTTGAGGAAACAGATATAGTCAGGTTATGCTGGAGAAAAAATACCAGTCTATTTTTTTAATCTTCTGTTTTACTAACATTACTGACAGATTTAATTTATGAGAATATGACAAAATATGCATTCTGGATCTACAGAACAAAATCAAGGATGCCAGAGGCTGAAGCACCTATTGTACCTGGACAGACACTGAGTATGCAATGAGCCTGATACATGAGGTCCTTGTTCCTGATGCTACTGTCTTTCCACCAGCCTAATTTTTTTAAAAAAATTCAGCAATGAGTTTAACTCATATAATGCATGTATTGTGGCCAGATTCATAAATTCCTAGCCACTTATTCCCAAACTTCTGTTGTAAGAACTGTAGAAAGGAGCTACATGAGGGGTGAGATGCTCCCAGTTCGGACCGAATTGCCCGATCTGGTAGGGATGGCGGTGGGTGGTTCAGAGAACCGGTAGCAAAAATCCCTGCCCGCCCCCATGCCCAGCTGAGCCGCGTGATCATCAGAGGCTTTTTTTTTTTTACTTTTAAAAGCATTTTTTCTTCAGCCAAAAGAATTGTAGAAAAAATGCTTTTAAAAGGCTCTGATGATCCCAGCTGAGTTGCCTGAGGATCTGAGGATCTGAGTGGTCAGAGGCTTTTTTTTCTTTTGAAAGCAAAAAAAAAGTGTTTTTAAAAGAAAATAAAAGCCTCTGACGATCAGGCAACTCAGCTAGGATCGTCAGAGCCTTTAACCTCGGCCGAAGAGGTTGTAGAAAAAATGCTTTTAAAAGAAAAAAAAAATTGGCCATGCCCACCCAGTCACATTACCCACCACCATCAAGCCACACCCACAGAACCGGTAGTAACAAATTTTACATTTCATCACTTAGCTACATGAGTTGACTGAAGGACTGTTCTTCTCCATAAATTAACTAGAGCAGAAGTTAAGTTTTTGATAATGTCTTGCCTTCACTCTCTAGGATCTTTAGAAAGAGGGGGAAACCCTGCTAGGAGAAGTTTCATAACATTCATGTCAATTTCTTTCATCAGGATTTCCTTGGTCAAACATTCTGCACTCTGGGGGAGATTGTTGGATCACCAGGAAGTCGCTTGGAGAAGCCTTTGATGTGAGTCGCTAGTCAATGTCATTTGGGATGTCATTAGTGGGACTTCAAACTTCTCGCCTCCCCTCCTCCTCCTCCTCCTTCTCCTCCTCCTCCTCCTCCTCCTCCTCCTCCTCCTCCTTCTTCAGTGGGTTCATTCTACTACACCTAGCGATGTATAAAGCATACATGTTTAGATAAATCCTATCAGAGGGGAGTCTTTATTTCACAGAGATATAGACTAAAGACTAATTTAAGTTTGGGCAAAACCAGCAACCGGATATTAGCTTCTTTTCTGTTTCTGCTATTATGCCTACGTCAGCTTTCCCCAACCCAATGCTCTCCCTAGATGAGCATGGATCACTGATGCATGGAGAAAAGCAAAATATCAAGCCCACATGTCATAAATTCTTCTCAAGTTTGTGGGAGTCAGTGTGTAATATTTTGTTCTAAACCTAAACACACTGAAAATAAAGTCACCAAAACAATTTAGTCATATAAACATGTTTAAAAATAGTAAATACAAAAGTCTATTTTTATCTCTAGTGAATTTGAGTTCACATATATGAACCTCAGAGAAGATCTATATCTTGAATCTTTTCTCCTATTTCTCATATATGTAATTGGCATACTTTATAACTTTTTATATTCCCTCTCAGATGTATTAATATTCATTTCAAAGACATCTGCCTTTTACTGAATTTACCATCTGCATTAGCTTGTTTTAGAACTAGCTCTGTTAGCTACTTTTTCTTCATTTAGTAGAGAAACATGATTGTTTTTTTTTTAATACAGTACAGCGCTCCACTTTTGAAAAATTATTTTTAGTGCTGATTCTATAGGTCAAATGGAATCACAGCTAATTCCAGCTTCAATTTTTGGCACATTTTAAACTGTATACTGCCTCCTTCTGTAGCCAGAACATTAACAGGAAGCTTGGGCTTATGATCTCCCAAAGAAAAGGAACAGAAGCATGAAAACGATGACTGTGTGGTTTATAACACATTGCTCTTTACAGTAGCATCCAAATATGTTGAACAGTGGTTTATAGAATACATGGTTTCTTAAGATAAAGAAACCTTGTTTTAGGACCAGAATTGGAACTAGAATTTCCATTGCTAACCCAAGGTGGTTGTTAAGTAACTTGCACCCAATTTTACAACTTTTTTTTGCAAATTTGTTAAGCAATTGTTAAGTGAATCAACTGCAAATGTTAAGCGAATCATATAGTCATTAAATGACTCTGGCTTCCCCCATTGACTTTTCCTTCTTGGAAGCTGGCTGGGAAGGTCAGAAATGGTGATTAAATGTCCCTGGACTGCTGCAACCATCATAAATACATGCCAGTTGCCAAGCGCTTGGATTTTGAACATTGTTACCATGGGGACGTGCGATGGTCATAAGTGTAAGTCACTTTTTTCAGTCCATTGTAACTTTGAAGCATTGCTACACAAATGGCTGTAAATCGAGAACTACTTGTAGTAGATTATTTTTAAATGTGAGGCAGAAGTAAGATGGAGCCATTTTCTGAGAGAAAACAGTGTAAAGAAAAGTCAGTTCTCCTGCTACATGTAATCTGGATTGTGGACCACATCTTTAAGATACAGGCAGTATTCTGAAACAAGCCTGAAGTCTATCTAGTGTAGCCTTAAGCAATTTACTTTTGCTGCTTGTTTTGCTTATTCTGATGTTCTGTTTTGATTGCACTCCTGATGCTTTTCTTCGGTTTCATTGCTTGCTGGAGTTTTGGATTTATTTTTAGGTTTGATTGGTTTTACTGTGGATCCTTTTTAATTTGTTTTGTAAATTGGGAGCTATTAGATTTGAAGGACAGTCAAGACTCTGCTTAACAAATAAATATAATACAACATTTGAACACATAGCATTCTGCCCTTGCTGTGTGTTGCTACCATGCATCATGTTAATGTGCTGCAGTAGTTAAAGACCAATTCACTGGATGGAATTTTTCCTGTTGTACAGTAGTCGGTAGAACGTCTTTAAAAAATTGAACTTGGAATCCCTTAGGAAAACAGGATACAACAAGGCCTGCAGAGATTTTAGGCTTCCACAATTGACCATGTTTTCTGGGGTCGACAACATCTAGGAAACAGTCTGTTGCCAGATCAGATTTATCATTATGAGTCCTTCATAATACCAATATGTTAGGTCAAAACCCCTAGTATTTTTAGGAGAAGCAAAGTGGGATCAGTGACATCCAAGACAAACCACATGGCAATGCTGAAGCCTCCAAGATGGTCTCAATCAGGCCAGCTATGGGTGTATTACTTTGAACCCTGACACCATAACAATGCCAAAATTGCATATGCAATATGACATCATCATACAAATGCTTCTATTATGTAATGGTATCCTGATGTTTGATGCAAATATTCAGTTTACAGCATTTGTATAATGATTTTGTTATGGACACATTATCATTTGCTGCTCTGCTGTTCTCTACTCAGCAGAGATTATTGAGGAAGATCCCAACTTCTTGTACTGGGCTGAGTCAAATCTCATCAAATCCTTGCTGAGAAGATGATGTTAAGAGTGCAGAACATCACTAATACAGCAGTATGCATGCAGCTTCCAGGCCCAGCAAATAACACCTTTTTCCTCGTTGTCTGAAAACAGCTCCAGAGTCTCCGGAAGGAAGCAGGTGCCAACGCTCCTCTTGCAATTGCCAGCCATAATTGGAAAGGAGAGATACATATAGTGAAAAAGAGAAGCTCTCTACTGTCTTTTGAGAAGCAGCTTATTAATTCAGATGCACCATGGGAGGGTAAATGCAAGGTGCAAAGCAGCATGTACAAGTGGTGGGGGCGTTACAGAAGCCCACTGTGGAATTAATTATCATTGCTGTTGGAAACAAGCCAAAGCCCAAGGCTTCTCCCTAGAGAAGCAGCAGATAGAAGAAAAAAAAACATAAAGAGAGGCAGAGAGCTCAGGATTCTGAACACAATAAATACTGTGGAAAGAAGTTCACAAAAAAGGGCTTTGCTACGTACAAGTATCAAAAACATTTAAACATGAAAGATCAGTTGTGAAAATGAGCTGTATGAGCATTAAGTCCTGATGGGTGTTAAGAACATTTTTTTTTTATTAAGGGATTTGTTTCAGAACTTTTTGGTAGCCTGCTCAAAATATATTGTCTTGCTGCTCACCTAAGATGTGCAGGTGAGCTGCAGGACATGGGGATACAAGCAGTTTACTCTAAAGCGTAGAGGTCCTTTTATCAAGAAGGACCTGAAGTCCTTCAGAATATAATAATTAGTTCAGATCTCCTGACTATTTCACACCCTCATCAATGCAAGGTGGAGTTTTCCTTCCAGTAGTGCCTAAGCACGTTCCACACTTCTTTGGGAAGAGCTTCCAAATGCTCTGGACTCTACAGTTTCCTCAAATTATTCTTGAGTTTTAGTACCAACACAATTAACTGGCTGTCAGGTAGAAATGACTAATACAAATGAAAGTTACGGGAAGGAGGAATACATTTGGTGGGCAATATGGCACATGTATAGGATGGATGCACGGTTATATTTTGGAAATGGAACATCACCGGATGATTCCTCTTTGTAGATCATCCTCATAATCCAAATTCTCTTAATAACCAAAGCTGGTGACTTCAAGTAGCTACTGAAACTAAACTGTCCATTCTATTATTTTGCAAACTCTGTTCTGGTAGAGGCACATGTTGCAAAATAATACCGGTAATTACCCATGCAACAATTTTTGGCATTGTTATTAAAATAGTTCAGTTCAGAAATAGAGTTGCTTTGGTAGCTCATTGACGTTGATCTTCTGAAGCACTGATGCTTTTTCTGTATCCTAAAACTTTCTTTTTAACAGTTCTAAATTAATGAGTAAAATCAGTATTTTTGTTTCTTTTCTCCACCTTTCCATTAAAATTCCTGATAGTGTTCCTGAGGTCTGTATGTTAGGAAGGATTTATATACCTTGAGTCACTCACTTATATTTTGGAAATCTTGGTAACAAGGACCATAAAATCTATTGTAGACTTTTTTCCCCTCTCCCTTTTCAGCTTTCATTAGCAATGAGTTTAAAACCAGAGATCCTCAACTTGAGGTGATCAAGCTACCTGCCGTCTTCCAAACATTTTGGCTGTAGCCCCCACAGAATCCATAAAGATTTTTATATGGCCAAAGATAATATATCTATGCATGCATATTTCTACAGCAATATATCAGAAGAGTAATTTTAATAATTATATTGTCAACGTTCTGACTGACGAACCCAACCAAAGCATGCATGGCTGAGATGATCCAATCTATTAATACAAAACTTTATTGAGTACATGATATTGGCAAAGATGAGGGCAAAACCAGATCTAACTATTTCCCGCACAAACCCATATAGTTAAAGTTCAGGTCTTGCCTCCCCCCCTCCTCCCATTAGACCAGGTCACATTGTCCAATGGAGACTTCTGGTGTTTTTGTGATAAAGTCTTTTTGGCTCTGGAAAACACCTGTCGAAATGTCCTTGATTCCCATGGCTGGCATCTTGATATCTGGAGTTTAGTTCTATCTCCCCCTTCCCTGCCCCTATAGTTCATTGGCAAGCTGAGAAGAGATAATAGTTGCAGCAGCAAAAACGCCATTTGAAGCTTGACATATATTTTAATCAAACGTGCAAATGAATATATATCAAATGAAACTTATTTTTTGTTGGCTTATGGATAATCTTATGGAGTGTCATCCCTAAGTTACCCACTTGTAGGAATACAGTACAAACTGATTTATTGTCATGTCATCCTGGCTGTAGGCCAGGGGTGAAATGCTGCTGGCTCTATCTGGCTCGCGGCAGCTGGTAGCACCGGTGGTGGGTAGTTCGGAGAACCGGTAGCACCGGTGGTGGGAGGCTCCGCCCCCCCCCCCAAACCGGGACATCGTCACGTCCTGGTTTTGACCATCTGCGCATGCGCAGAAGGCTTTGCACATGTGCAGATGATGGCACATGCACAAATGCGGCTCGTGCACATCAACGAGCTGGTAGGAAAGATAAGT